AAACCATCCATGTCTATATGTAAACCATCCAAGTCTATGTGTAAATCATCTATGTCTATGTGTATAACCGTCCATGTCTATGTGAAAACCATCCATGTGTATGTGTAAACCATCCATGTCTATGTGTAAACCATCCATGTCTATGTGAAAACCATCCATGTCAATGTGTAAACCATCCATGTCTATGTGTAAACCATATATGTCTATGTGTATAACCGTCCATGTCTATGTGTAAAACATCCTTACGAACATGTAAATCACCCATGCCCACATGTTTACAAATCATCCACGCTCACCTGTAAACTATCCATACACCCGTCTAGACCAGCCAAGCCCCTGTGTACACGATCCATGCCCATGTATAAAAAGTCCTTGCATTTGTAAATCATCCAATATCCACGTGTAAATCAGCCATGGCCATGTGTTTATCAGTCCTTGCCATTTGTAAATCATCCATATCCACGTGTAAATCATCCATGGCCATGTGTAAACCGTCCAAGTCATGGGTAAACCATCCATGCCCACGTGTAAATCATCCATTCCCACGTGTAAATCATCCATGCAAATGTGTAAACCATCCATGCCCATGTGTCTCAGACAGCAAGAGGTGTATACTTCCCAGGTAGCTGAGACCGCATACCTTGTGAACATTTGTTTATAATTCAGTTAGAGCTCGTAACATGCTTCAGCGGATAGACAATGACGTGTTATAATTATCTATTTATTATCTTAATGTTTACTGTAATTAACTGATTATATTTACAGCAGAAAAAAAAAAACACCTTCCGTTGATCACAAGTGCTCGTTTGTGATGTAAAACACTATGTAATATTATTTATAGGCTGATATCGAGCCTCCCGAAGTCAATACCTGTGATCAATTTGTATCCAAAAACTCCAAAGCATCAGTTTGAAAGAGGATCGTTATCCATCCATCACTGCGGGCTTACAGACACCTTCATTATCACCAGAGCATCGCTCAAATCGCTCTTCAGTTACACATGTAGGCATGCTGTAACACCAGATGAGTTTCGGTTAATGACTGCCATGCCAAAAAGCTATATTACATTTTCTCGATATGTCAATTAAGAAGAAGACTTATAAATCATTGGCTCGGAATAGTAGTATTATACATGAAGTGCATGATGTATCGTCATTACAATCTTGTCTGGACAAGGTATTTGATAGAGAATTACGGACTGCATTCATATACAAATTATGATGGACGTACTGGATTAAAGCCAGCATTGTATGGATACCTGGAGGTGAAATAGAGGATATGTGATCAGGAGTTGAGAAATAGGTGCAGTTGAACCTTTTTGTTCTGCAGTCCATAAATCTTATGACTTCTACTTTCGCAAAAACCTTTTACAAAATGAAACTATTATGTATCTTCCGTACGTTTGTGAGAGCGAGGTTTACATTTACACTCAACAATACACTCAGCTGCTTTAACATATCCACTCACCAATTGACTGACGTGGTCATTAGGTAAAACTGGTTAAATCCCATTCGGTACAGACAATATTTTTAACGGTATTTTGGTAGCATATTTATCTGAGTGCATGTATGCATGTGAATATAACCCGTTAAGATCCTGTATAGAATTGGTCTTCAGTTACCCATGCTTGTTGTTAGAGGCGACTAACAGAATCTGGTGGTCAGGCGCGCTGACAAATGTTGTCGTATCCCAATTGCGTAGATCCATGCTCATGATGCCGATCACTGGATTGTTTGGTCCAGACTCGATTATTCACAGACCGCCGCCATACAGCTTGACTACTGCTGAGTGTGGCGTTAAACAACAAACCAACCAACCAGCCAGCATGTATATATTACTACTTATATTACCAATTTGTTTAATATATTTCCTTTGCTACTATATCAATGTTTTTTGAGAGAATGTTTTTAATCGTTTCACCCTGATGTTCATGTATAAACGTTATCTAACGTAGTATATTCTAGAAATGTAGCTGAATTACCCATCGCAAAATGATGTGAATAGTGTGACGTAATTTGAATCCAGATTTTCAAGAAATTATGTGATTCAATCCGATCCGATACGATTTGAGAGATATGACATGGCAAGACACGATGAGCTGTATTCCCTCAGGGCCATGCTCACAGACTGGTAGGCGTATGTGGTTTGCACAGGGTATAGAGGGTTTTACCAGGGCATGGATGGTTAAAGCAGTGCAGTGATAGTCCACACATAGGGTGGGTGGTTTACAAAAGGAGTGTGCACGTTTTGTATAATCAGGAATTTTGTGCAGGTGCCCATTTTTCAACATGTGGTATTTACATCCACAGAGACAAAAGCCAAGAAACAAAAACATAGTTACATGCATACATACATGCATGCATGCATGCATGCATGCATGCATACATGCATACATACATACATACATGCATGCATGCATGCACGCACGCACGCACCTTGTCGTTAAGGCTGCTTCCTATGATGGGCTGAAATCTCTTGACAATAAACCTTGGGTATTTGTACTTCTTTATTATGCTATAGGCACGTATTGATTTGATGGGTTTTAGATTTGAAAGAGAGATTTGAAGAGAGGATCAGCCAGGTGTGCGAGAAAGGATGGATACGACACAGCACAGGTAAATGAATCAACAGCTTTGTCGACACTTGTACACGAGCTCCGCGTACACCTGACTGTTCCTCTCTCGGCACTCCTCCCTCGTAACAAATACTGAGCTGTGTCAAAATTTTAATGATTGTTTGTTACACAACTTTTTTATTTTTAGGACATAAATTCTGCAAAACAATCACAGAGTTGGTCTGATGTTTTGATTATGATCAGCGTTTCATTGATCATTACATGTTTATCAGTTTTCGAGTTAAATTGCAATTCATCGGTCCGCTTTTAAGCCAAACGGACTATACCGCATACTATATTACACATATAAGGCTTGTGTTGCAAGTTCAGTATATTTACCGTATATGAGGACCTCTGCGTACTGATGAGACTGGTGTACAATAGGAATTCGTTTCATTGACCTCAAATGATGTCTCTTTCACACCGTATTTGAGACGTATTTTATGTCCGCTTCCAATACGCGTAATTAACTATTCACTCTGCTGTAAAATGTCGCATGATTCAATGATTATTGTCTTGAGATTCCTGGCAGAACCACGCATTTCAATTTTGCAACAATGACGTAATTTATATAACAGTAGTACCAATAGTACCAGCCGTAAAGTATTCCTAGCTGTTTAAAGTATTAAATGATATGTTCATCTTCTTCGTCATCCTTATTGACAGACCGCCTCCGTGGTGTAGTGGTTAGAGCGTCCGCCCGGAGAGCGGAAGGTCGCGGGTTCGATCCCCGACCGCGTCATGCGAAAAACGTTAAAATATGGTACTTGTTGGTCCCTGCCTGGCGCTCGGCATTAATGGGTACAACAAGGACTGGTCGGCTCGGAGTCAGTATACTGTGTCTGAGTGGGGTATTCATGCTTCACTGCGGCATGGTATCTCAGTGGGCTAGCACTATAAAACCAGCTTAAGTCTGGGCTAGTACAAGCAGCCGCACATACACATACACACGCATGCACGTCGTCATATGAGCGAAATATTCTCAAGCACGACGTTAAACCCAATTTCACCTCACCTCACCTTATTGACATACTAGTCCGAAATGATGAAGGTCTTGGCACCACTAATAAAGTTTAATACAGACAAAATAATGATAGTAATTGACACACAAAGTGACCCACTGGCAAATACCAAACACTGTAAACTACGTTTTTACAATGCATACTTCAATGATGACATATCAGTGTCACAATAAAGTTCAAAAGTGAAAAATGTTAAATAATGTCAATTGTAATGCAAGAACTGTCTCCGTGATGATAACTATGAAATTTGGGAAACGTTATCCTTTGAAACGGATATATAAAATTTGAGGAGAATATCTCAGTAGATTGGCATTCGGGAGAACTGTTGTGCTGATATTTAAGTTCAAATAATGATGATATGATGACTGGTTTGGTTTACAGATTAAATGTGTTGTGGAATGCCCTACCCCAGGCCTGTATCTAAAGTTTAGTGGCACAAGGTCGACTGCCAACTGATTGGGTCAACATGCCTTTGAAACCCCCACCCCAACCCCCACCCCGGCTCTTGACATGTACTGTTGCTCGTAACCATACCATCAGATATTGTTCTCAACATGTGAAAACTCCAGCTGTGAGGAAGATCTTCCACAGGTTTTCTGTTGTTGGTGTGTGATTTGTATATATATTGCTATTAATTTTTTAAATTTTAAGTCAGTCAGTCCTTTTCCTTTTTGTCATTTTCCTTGGATTTATTGTTTTGCTTATTGGGTGTTTTATTGTTTGTGGTTGTTGTTTTTTATTTATTTATTATTATTTTTATTTTTTCATTTTATTATTATTTTTTTTTTTTTTGGGGTATTTTTGGTTTGTTTGTTTTTTATTGCTGTTTTTTTCAGTTGTCGCAAAAACTTGGCTTTTGGGGGTAAGCTGTGGGTAAATAAGACACACCTTCCTTCTAGGTCAAGTCTGTCTACAAGGAAATGTGATTGTACATAGATCATAGATACGAAGTTCCAGCTGCGTCTGTTTCCTGACACAAGCGTATCCTCCCTTGTTACATACTGCCCGCCAGCGATACAAGGACAGTCCTACATGCACGTCGGTGATCCACGTGTTCCCATCACCTGATACATCGTGACGGAATGACACAAAACTATGCAAGTGATTTATTCTTTGTTTTTCAATTATGATAAATATTAATGAATAAATCAAATAATTACGTCTCGACTGTCAACGACTTACATTGCAATTTACAAGCCCCCACCCACAAACCGACCACGCCCCTCTTAACTCTCTGCATGTAACAAAGCTGAATTCATTGTGTCATGTTTACAGTAGAATGTACAGCATGTAATAGCTGTTGGGGATGGGAGGAGACGGCCATCTGCCTCAGGTTACAAAACACGTTAAATATTCAAACCGCATATTTCAAGGATTAAGTCACAGCAATAATACGTTGATATGATATGTGCTTCGAGGTTTAAAACTTTAATGTACAGTACAAAACGAGGAAACTCGTGTCGTTTAATCTGGAGTGTACGTAATTTAAAAGGTAAGAAACTGCGTTTCGTTTATTCGTATTTTGATTTCAGAAAATGACGTGAAATTTAAATGTGTAGTTTGCCTGTATGAATTGCATCACATTGATAATGCTGATGAAAATATAATTTCACAACATTCATCAATTCAAATCAATTAATGTCACAGTTTATTCCTGGCTCGAATTGGTCTGTGTCCTCCCGGTTCACCTAACCCGTTCAGATCCGGGTTTGAACCGGTCTTCATCAACCCATGTTTGTCATAAAAGGCGACTAACGGGATCGGGTGATCAGGGTCGCTGACTTGGTTGACACATGTCATCGTATCCCAGTTGCGTAGATCGATGCTCATGTTGTTGATCACTGGACTGTCTGGTCCAGACTCGATAATTTACAGCTGGAATATTGCTGAGTGCGGCGTAATACTGACCTCACTCACCTTAACAAAACTAACAAAAGAAACATATAAACGAGGTCCGAAAGTATACCTTATTGATACCTCTGGGACAGAACCGATAATGTATCCTAATTGTGATGTGCCATTCACTCGCTCACTAGACTCCTCACTCATTTGGGAGACCCCAATGAGTAAATCCGTGAACCATTGTTATAATCCACCTTGAGTCAAAGTCTTTTCTTGTTCAACTAACTTTTCTTGTTACTAAAAGAATTCGAAAGTCTAAACGAACAGATGTGAAAATACTTACCTACGAAGTATCTCAGCTTGAAATCGAAACATACTTCTATCTTTAAAATAACTCACCCACCTTGATGAGGTTCTAAACTAAATATAGCCAATGGAGAGTGAAATCAGGTCAGGTGGTCTGAATGTCGCAACTCAACATAATTATGAATTTTACACTTGTACATGACAAACTGTCACTTGTGATTGTTGAACGTCGCCCTTGGGGGATTTACAGCGATCCAGCGAGATTAAGACTGAAACCGGCGATAATCAGCCACGATCGTGATTTATTCCTTGAATTTACTTGAAATACTAACATGTCTGTCAACTATGATTTTTCAAACTAGGGCGCTCTATAAACATTAACGTGAATCTGACACACGAGTACGGCACTATAGTTTGGCATGAAATGCATGTGGACCCGGTTTTTTGTAAATATCTCTTCATCCAATGACCCAATCGATCTCAAACTGTGCAAGTGGATGTATTGTCAGACAGCCTAATCACATTGTAAATCACCGATTTTATGCATTTGTATTAAAGAATCTGTCTATGTAACTGTCAACAAAATAAACAGCAGAACGCAGACTGCTTGCAGAGGGAGGGAGCCAATGACCTGTAACAGCGGCACGTGTTGTGTTACACGCAACAGGCCTCATCAACAGGACGTCGTAATTGACCTTAGCCAGGACATTTGTGTCCTTGTAGAGGGACGTCAGCTTCCGGACCATCCAGAAAAGGAAAGGACCTGTGAAGATCCGGGTTAGGAGTGGTCTTCAGCAAGCCATGCTTGCCGTAAGAGGCGACTAACGGGATGGGGTGGTCAGACTCGCTGACTTGATTGACACATGTCATCGTATCCTTAAATGCGTAGATCGATGCTCTTGATCACTGGATTGTCTGATCCAGTCTCGATTATTTACAGACTGCCGCCATATAGCTGGAATATTGCTGAGTGCGGCGTAAAACAACAACCAGACGGGAATGCAAGTAATGCAAGTGTCTACACTCGAAATAGAAAAGGTTTAACATATATTCACGGAATTTTTGCGACTTCACGACAAGGCTCGGAAATAACATATGAAACAAATGGGCTCATGTCAACTTACATACGTCGGTATGTTTTACGTATGACTCTTTTTTGCTGTCGCCTTGTTTTTCTGACGTCACATCTCCCTCGTTGACATAATGAGGGAATGTCCACCTGAAGCGGATATTTTATTACATGTATGCTTAATCAGAAGTCCGCGAAAAACATGTGATGCAGTGTTTACTACGTGTCGTAAACCCTTTGTTCTTCCTGTGAAATATACAGCAGGGCCAACTATTAGTTACCCACGTGTGATTGTGACTACACAAGAAACATGGATTTGTTGTATTTGATATGGGCATCGTTTTAACCTCACGTTTGAAGTGCTCAGTCTGCTTTTTGATAAAGTTTGTATTTTTTCTCCAACTCAAGTTTTCAAGTGTATATTTTCTTTTGCCGGGGAGGATACTCTCTGCAGTTGAAGTTGATGTTGCGTGACACATATGCAACTGTCCTAATCTGTCATCATATGCTGGAAGCTATTTCAAAGGGGAAATGTTTAACATGGGTGCTTGAGGCGTGAAACACGCCTTGGAGTAACGCCACAGTATAAGTGATATGGTTGGGTGAAGTGTCTCCCTTGGCTATTTCTGTTGTAGTGAGTGAGTTTAGTTTCACGCCATTTTTAGCAATATTCCAGCAATATCACGGCGGGGGACACCAGAAATGGGCTTCACACAATGTACCCATGTGGGACCTTGAACCCGGGTCTTCGGCATGACGAACGAACGCTTTAACCACTAGGCTACACCCTATTACAAGTTTAAAGGCGATGAGTTTTGAAACTAGTGTGCCCCCGGGGTTAGACTTGTTCTCAAGCAAAGTTTGTTGTTTTAGGCAAGTACTGGACCGGTAGTAAGGCTCAGTTATTTGGTTTAATGGCATGTAAACGCACAGCGTTGCTCATAACATCAATCACTTGATTGCCTGTCCGGAGACGATTATTTTGGGCGACTAACTGTGACATGTCGCACATCCGGATGTACGAAAGCTGCTGCTCGAGATCGAACTGCGTAACCACTAACCCTATGAACAACCCACTGAATTGCCCACTAAATAACCCACGAAATAACCCACTGAATCTAAAGGCACAATGCACCCCGCTGGTTTTCCATGTTTAGTTTTGGTTTAGGTCCTGGGTAACCTACGAGCTTGTAGTATGGATCAGGTGGTAAGACTGGGTGATAATGGTTGACTATATATTCAAAACATCAGAACGCAGTGGGTTATTGTTCATAATATCAATCACTCGTTTATTACGTTAATGAATAAAATAGGCCTCCGTCATGTAACTGAGTGCCATCGGGGAAATCCACAAATGCACATGTACATGGTTTTCACCACTGAGTGACACACTCCTCACCCCCATTATATTGGCTGATATATCTTCTTCCATGAATCATGGTCCCGTCACAGTTAAGGGACGTAACTCTGCAAGCCAATTGTGTGGTGTGAGACCACACTAGGGAGACCTTGTTCAGGTATTTTTGGAATACCTGTTCTATGAATTTCTTTACCAAAACAGTCAATCGGTGATGGCAATGAACATGTAAGGGCTTGTACATTTTTTGTGCATTTATTAAAAACATAGACTTGTACAACTGTATGGCGTCTACTGGCATGAATACATTCACGCATGAATAGTCGACCTTGTGGCTAGTCTCTTTATCAGGCACCAAAACAATTCTACCCCCACTCCAAAGCCTATCATGCATATACAAGTAAAAGATGAGGGCTCAAAACAGAACCCCGTATGACACCAACACGGGGATTGGACGCGTATCAAAGGAAATCCTAAAACAGTTGACGGATACACCGATGTGATCAACACGCCAACGTCATGCACCTGGTTGTACATGGTGTCATATCAGTGCACTCCACTCCTATAAACACCCTATCAATCACTCAAGTTTCCCGCCCTCTCAGTAATTATACGTGCATGGAATCTTGAGCGGGGGTTGACATAACAGTAAACAAGACATTTTGCACAGGGAGAGATGAAGCTACTTAGAAGCACTTACATGTGTTTAGGAGTTGGTTGCAAAGCTAAATTTAAATTTTAAAAAGTGAAACAAAGTACGTTCATTTTTCAGTCGTGTGTCAAATTGACATGATTTTGGTTTGTTAATTAATATGTTGGCTCGATGAAAGCGTCTAAGGTGTCGTTATTTTACTTTCTAGGTTGTTTAATTTACTCCGTAGTCTTCTGTGCTTGCATTAGTTGTTATGATATCGGGCTCCATCATTGCGAGGCATATCTCTATGCTGGATCTATTGCGAGGGCCTTTTGTGTATGGTTTGTTCGTGCTAAGTGTTATGAGTGTTTGCTAACAATAAAATTGCCAGTAGTCACGCTAGATATATGTGTTTTACTATTTACACAATAGGGGGCTGAGAATGAGAGTTTAGTACAAATAGAAACGACAAAACCTTTCCAACATACGTAAGAAATCTCTGGTAAAAGCAGAGTCGATTGTACAATTCTGACTATATATCATGAGCATGTGTTTGTGTGACGCCCCATTCAGCAGTGTTACAGCTGTACGACGCGGTCTGTAAACAATGGAGTCTGGGTCAGACAATCTAGTGATTGACACCATGAGAAACGATGACTGAAGATGTGTTTTATGATGCTGTTACCATTACTCAGAAATGAAGATCCCATGGTGTTTGGAATCTGGTTCATAATAAACTAAATTAGTCAGCAGCAATCATGCCATCTGGTGTGGCCTAGTTGAGTCAGGAAGTTTGCAATGTTGAATATTAATTTCAGAACATATTAGCAGTGACGCAATCAGTCAGAATGATTGACTGAGTGAGCCCATTTAACGCCATTTTATATAGTATTTCGGCATATCGTACTTGTAACTTAAGCGGATCCTGGTGCAGTTAAGGAACGTAAAATATTCCAAAAGATTTCAGGCTCGTCCTGAACGATTTTCTTTTATGTTATCCTAAATGAATATATCATGAATGTTTAGTCAAATCAAAAAGCATAAAGGATACAAAATAAGATAGAAGGTAAGAGATTCGACATATAGCTCACCTGATCTGAATGACTAGACCACCTCCTTTGTAGTGTAGCGTCCGCCATCTTTTTCAAAAGCATGTTTTCATTTTCGATATCTCCAGAACCAGAGTTTAAAGATTCATGGTTCCGCCATATACATGTGAGAATATTGAAGGAACCTTGAACTATAACGGATCTGTTGACAGATCTTCTCATATTTACAGAATAC